GTACAGAAACCTTTGTTTGGCAATTACAGAGATCATACTTTTTCCTGTAGGTTTGACCAGGTTTGGCAACACCCTGCAGCAGGGATTTTGGCCCCTCCTCCATACAGACCTTCTCCAGATCCTTCAGGTTTCGGGGCTGTCGCTGGGCAATATGGATTTTCAGCTCCCCCCAAAGATTTTCTATTGGGTCAGGTCTGGAGACTGGCTGGCTGTGTGTTTCGGGTCGTTGTCATGCTGGAAGACCCAGCCACGACCCATCTTCAATGCTCTTACTGAGGGAAGGAGGTTGATGGTCATTGGCAAACTTAAGACGGGCCTGACATGCGCTGGCTTGAGCAGGGACCTTGCGTGCGCTGCAGATTTTAATCCATGACGGCATAGTGTGTTACTAAGGGTTTTCTTTGAGACTGTGGTCCCAGTTCTCATCAGGTCATTGACCAGGTCCTGCCGTATAGTTCTGGGCTAATCCCTCACCTTCCTCATGATCATTGATGCCCCACGAGGTGAGATCTTGCATGGAGCCCCAGACCGAGGGTGATTGACCGTCATCTTGAACTTCTTCCATTTTCTAATAATTGCGCCAACAGTTGTTGCCTTCTCACCAAGCTGCTTGCCTATTGTCCTGTAATCCATCCCAGCCTTGTGCAGGTCTACAATTTTATCCCTGATGTCCTTACACAGCTCTCTGGTCTTGGCCATTGTGGAGAGGTTGGTGTCTGTTTGATTGAGTGTGTGGACAGGTGTCTTTTCTACAGGTAACGAGTTCAAACAGGTGCAGTTAATACAGGTAATGAGTGGAGAACAGGAGGGCTTCTTAAAGAAAAACTAACAGGTCTGTGAGAGCCGGAATTCTTACTGGTTGGTAGGTGATCAAATACTTATGTCATGCAATAAAATGCAAATTAATTACTTAAAAATCATACAATGTGATTTTCTGGATTTTTGTTTTAGATTCCGTCTCTCACAGTTGACGTGTAGCTATGATAAAAATTACAGACCTCTACATGCTTTGTAAGTAGGAAAATCGGCAGTGTATCAAATACTTGTTCTCCCCACAGTATGTGGCAGGGTCTACAGATAATCACGGACTACAAAAATAAACGCAGCCACGTCGCGGACACCGATGTCTCGCTTCCAGACAAGCTAAACACCTTCTTCGCCCGCATTGAGGATAACACAGTGCCACTGACGAGGCCCACTACCAAGGACTGTGGCCTCTCCTTCTCCATGGCCGACGTGATTAAGACATTTTAAGCATGTTAACTCCCGCAAGGCTGCCGGCCCAGACGGCATCCCTAGCCGTGTCCTCAGAGCATGTGCAGACCAGCTGGCTGGTGTGTTCATGGACATATTCAATCTCTCCCTTTCCCAGTATGCTGTTCCCACATGCTTCAAGAGGGCCACCATTGTTCCTGTACCCAAGAAAGCAAAGGTAACTGAACTAAATTAATATTGCACTGTAGCACTCACCTCTGTCATCATGAAGTTCTTTGAGAGACTAGTCAAGGATCATATCACCTCTACCTTACCTGTCACCCTAGACCCACTTCAATTTGCTCACCGCCCCAATAGATCCACAGACGATGCAATTGCCATCACACTGCACACTGCCCTATCCCATCTGGACAAGAGGAATACCTATGTAAGAGTGCTGTTCATTGACTATAGCTCAGCATTCAACACCATAGTACCCTTCAAGCTCATCATTAAGCTCGAGGCCCTGGGTCTGAACCCCGACCTGTGCAACTGGGTCCTGGACTACCTGATGGGCCGACCCCAGGTGGTGAAGGTAGGAACAACATCTCCATTGATCCTCAACACTGGGGCCCCACAAGGGTGCGCGCTCAGCCCCCTCCTGTACTCCCTGTTCACCCATGACAAGCACGCCTTCAACTCAATCATCAAGTTTGCAGACGACACAACAGTAGTAGGCTTGATTACCAACAATGACGAGACCGCCTACAGGGAGGAGGTGAGGGCTCTGGGAGTGTGGTGCCAGGAAAATAACCTCTCACTCAACATCAACAAAACAAAGGAGATGATCGTGGACTTCAGGAAACAGCAGAGGGTGCACCCCCCTATCCACATCGACGGGACCGCAGTGGAGAAGGTGGAAAGCTTCAAGTTCCTTGGCGTACACATCACAGACAAACTGAAATGGTCCACCCATGCAGACAGTGTGGTGAAGAAGGCGTAACAGAGCCTCTTCAACCTCAAGAGGCTGAAGAAATTTGGCTTATCACCTAAAACCCTCACAAACTTTTACAGATGCACAATTGAGAGCATCCTGTCGGGCTGTATCACCGCCTGGTACGGCAACTGCACCGCCCACAACCGCAGGGCTCTCCAGAGGGTGGTGCGGTCTGCCGAACATATTAACGGGGACAAACTACCCGCCCTCCAAGACACACATAGCACCCGATGTCACAGGAAGGCCAAAAAGATTATCAAGGACATCAACCACCCGGGCCACTGCCTGTTCACCCCGCTATCATCCAGAAGGCTAGGTCAGTACAGGTGCATCAAAGCTGGGACCGAGAGAATGAAAAACAACTTCTATCTCAAGGCCATCAGACTGTTAAATAACCATCACTAGCACATTAGAGGCTGCTGCTGCCTATTGAAATCACTGGCCACTTTAAGAAATGGAACACTAGTCACTTTTAATAATGTTTACATATCTTGCACTACTCATCTCATATGTATATACTGCATTCTATTCTATAATATTCTTCTGTATCTTAGTCCATGCCGCTCTGTCATTGCTTGTCCATATATGTATATATTCTTAAATCCCATTCCTTACTTTTTTGTGTGTATTGGGTATATGTTGTGAAATTGTTAGATATTACTGCACTGTCGAAGCTAGAAGCACAAGCATTTCACTACACCCGCTATAACATCTGCTAAACACGTGTATGTGACAAATAAAATTTGATTTGAACAGATTTCATCACTTTGCTGCAGACAGGATCACTTTTCATCAATTAGAACTCTGAGGAATCTAGTGGATGTGACTTGTTCCATTTCATTCCCACCAACTGAGATTCTTGCTCTTTTTAAATATTTTTTATTTACAATATTTCTTATTCTTACTAGTGAATACAATATTGTATTTTTTATTTTTTTACATTTTACAGATACTTTGTTTATCTGGAACCATTCAGAAAATGTGGCCATGCCTGAGTTGGCTTCATTAATTAGTGAATCTAAATAATTGTGTGATAAAATCAAAATGGTATCATCAGCAAAGAGAATGGGAAGACACAGCAGCAAGGTCATTGATATAGTTTAGGAATAATAAAGGTCCTACTATCGAACCCTGTGGCACGCCACAGGATATCTTGACCCTGGTAGTTGCACGGCCGTTTGCATAAACAAATCAATTGGTCGAAAGAACAGATGACTCTTGGTCGACCAATATTTCTATTTAGTCTGGGACAGCCCTAGTGTTTATGCAACAAATGTTAGCAAATCGTATTTGCATAGATACTTTCTCTAATCAAACCGAATTGCACCGAGTCATTTCAAACTAAAACGTATAGGAGGCCATGTATCCAGATGCGTATCAAATTGTCTTGCAAGGGAAAGATGCACATCCCTAATGAGAAGCGAATACTAAAATATGGAAATATTATGTTACATGCTATCTTACCTCTATTGATTTATGTCCTGCGGATTCGAAAAGAAAGATGACAAGTTCAAATGGAAAGTGAGCCTGTCGGGTTGCCTTCATTCTCGCACAGCTGTGCATTTTTCCTTATTTATTACCACTTTTTTTCTCTGGCCCTTGATTTTAGGCACCCTAATTTTGACCATCCTACAAGGGTAAAAATTCCAATAACTTTTGAACGGATTATGATAGACATGAAGTTTGGACCATTGGTTTTCTATGAGGATTAGCTATCTACACAATTAACATTATTTTACCCATTGGTCAAAAGATGTGTTTTTGATTGGACACCCTACAAGACTCATTCTTACTTAGATAACCTGACCGACAGGGATGAGAAGATTACACACAAGCACACTGTCCTTAAGATACATTTGAACCTGACATGAGGCAGCCTAGTAGGTATGTAGGTAGGCTAATAGACGGGTTGGTTGTTTAGCAACAAAACCGATGCTTGCGCAACTGTGGCAAAACAGACAGGGTTGGCTTAGATTGTTGACAACATGTAAACTATATTTAATCTCTAATGTTGATTTGAAAACATCAATACATTTGCACAATGAGCACTTGTCTCTCAAATATGTCGTTACAGTTGTTTTTATCTAGCTAGTGAATTTTTGCCATATTAGCATTGACATGAAATCAGTAAAAACACCTCAAACAAGACATGGTATCAAGAACAAGATGAAATTAGCTGAATCGAGTCACTTACGATTCCCCACATGGCAGTTTCTTGTCATTGTTGGTAGCGATCTGGCGATCCAGAATCATAACAACTCACGGACTTCTGCCCCATTGAAGCGTGCGCATCATTTTCGTGACGTTGTCAGCTAACCCAACTATAACCCTGCCTGTGGCTGAGCTTCTGTCTGCTCTTTACTGACTCAAAACTTTGATGGTAGAGTTGCATAAGTGCAACTGATATGTTGAAAAATGCCAGTTGGGCGAGGTATCGTATGACATACATTTGACGCAGTATAACCCATTTAAGGCCCCTGTTTGATAAAAAGGCGACACTGCATTATTTTTTTTGATGCAGTGAAACAATTGTCCTTCCTGTCCATTCTTATTCCTCCAAGGTCCATTAGTAATCCAGACATGTCCTAAATGGCATGTTTTCCCTGAGGTATCCTGGCAACCAGTCTAGTCTGTAGCAGACCCTACAATCGTGTGGGTGGGGCAAGCGCACAGTGTGAAATTCCCACTGTCTTTATTCTCACAAGGAGAACAAACTTGACTTAATTGTGTTTGTGAAGAAAATAAATGTAAGAAGATTACTCCGTGTTCTGATTTTGAATGAACATAATACTTTTTTTCCCCCGTCCAGAGCAGAGCAATTGCGAATGGATGGAAGGAAATTCCAGAAGCTGTAATGAACATTTGTGGTGAGTGAGACTCATTTTGTGCCTTGTTTTGTCAGGCATTTTTCCTGAATACATTTGAAAGATCCTTTCTCAAAATAGGCCAAAGTACAACGTAAGCTGTACAGCTTGAGATTTACAGTCTAGCTCTAATTCATGTTTCTGTTTCAGATGATCTAATGGCAGACCAAAGAATGGACATTACCTCTACGATGAATGAGTTCATGTCCCCCAGCTCCACCGACCTGATCAGCAGCTCCATCAACACCCCAGGCATGGACTACACCCGCAAGAGGAAGGGCAGCACCTCCGACTACCAGTAAGCACCTACCGTAACCATCGTCACATCACTGTGGCCCTGCACTCAGTCACCTTAGTCTCCCCCCAGCCTCCCACCATAGTCAGTGTTGGAGATAATGGGTTCACTGAGTTCTAAAGTTATGAATGAGTAATTAATACTCCAACTTTGCTAGTAATAGTTATGGGAAATACCCTTAAAAAATATATATATGTATTGTGCTATATTGACTCATTTGTAAGTCTATACAGTAATTTCCCTGCAATCTGTTACTGATCCGCATTCATCTGACAACAGAATGATTAATGCATTATTTTATTTCTTTGCAGAATTGATGGATTTTCTTTCGAGTAAGTATGAAAACGGTTTCTTATTTTTCACCCTTGTCTGTTAGGCTTACCTTTTTTCTTAGACACTTTGAATGGTATAGTGCGAATGGATAGTAGGAAACTGGAGAAAAACAAATGAAATCGGAATCTAACATGGTTCAGTAAAACTAATGGCATCTGATTATCTTCCACAGCGATAGCAGTATGGATACAGACAAGGATAAGCTTAGGTAAGAGTTTTGGCAGCAAAAAGCATGTATAAAGTAAAGCTTATTTTTGCCATGTTACTGGTTATATATTGTACAGGGGAGGCAGAGATGTTGGGTTAAGATAGTGGTTTCATTGCAAGATTGAGTAGGCGTTAATCTATTGTCATGTAAGATTTACATGGTGAGACAATGGTGACATTGTAGAGGGCTATATACACTGAGTGTACAAAACATTAGAAACACCTTCCTAATATTGAGTTGCACCTCCTTTTACCCTCAGAACAGCCTCAATTTGTCAGGGCATGGACTCTACAAGGTGTCAAGCGTTCCACAGGGATGCTGGCCCATGTTGACGCCAATGCTTCCCACAGTTGTGTCAAGTTGGCTGGATGTCCTTTGGGTGGTGGACCATTCTTGATACACACGGGAAACTGTTGAGCATTAAAAACCCAGCAGCTTTGCAGTTTGTGACACACTCAAACCGGTGCGCCTTGCACCTACTACCATACCCTGTTCAAAGGCACTTAAATCTTTTGTCTTGCCCACTCACCATCTGAATGGCACACATACACAATCCATGTGTCAATTGTCTCAAGGCTTAAAAATCCTTCTTTAACCTGTCTCCTCCCCTTCATCTACACTGATTTTGAAGTGGATTTAACAAGTGACATCAATAAGGGATCATAGCTTTCACCTGGTCAGTCTGTTGGGAAAAGCAGGTGTTCCTAATGTTTTGTACACTCAGTGTATATACCATTACATAACCTTTGTGGAACAGTGGCGGAGTGATACATTTTCTACTAAAACGTCTCTCTTTTATCTTTTCCTTCTTCCAGGGATTGTGGTGATCACCAGGGCCGGATAAAAAATGCCAGGTACCCAGACTCATTCCCGATTCCTCATGTTTCACTTTTAAAAGTCTCTGTCGGCAATGAATATGCATAGTGTTTCCACTGACCTGGCACGCGGTTAAACTCCAGGATCAAATATATTATATTTCCAGGGTGAATTAAATGCTCCTTTTTAATGAGAGACCGAGAGCCTTTTGTCCCATCGATGAATAGGCACTTTATATAGTCTATAGATTGCACTGTGTAACAGAAGGATTGGGAGTTGTTCTAACAGTTTGCTTTCTGCTACTAGGGAGGCACACAGTCAGATTGAGAAGAGGCGTAGAGACAAGATGAACAGCTTCATAGACGAGCTGGCGGCGCTAGTGCCTACCTGCAACGCTATGTCCCGCAAGCTAGACAAACTCACAGTCCTACGCATGGCTGTCCAGCATATGAAGACATTACGAGGTGAGATGCAGACAGAGACAGTAGGCAAATTATCACTGGACATCAAAGAGGGGGAAAAGTTGTGACTTGATAATTAAATCATTATTAAAAGACTACTTTTTTTGTTTCTGTACAGGCGCAGCGAACCCTTACGCAGAGGCGAACTACAAGCCATCTTTCCTGTCTGATGATGAACTGAAGCACTTAATACTGAGGGTAGGTTCAAGCCCTCCTCTAACTCCTCTCTGCTTTCTGGGTAAGCCTGATGACACAAACCTCATTATTTTATTGTATGTTTTCCTTTAGGCTGCTGATGGCTTTCTGTTTGTCGTCGGATGCGATCGTGGGAAGATCCTCTTCGTCTCTGAGTCCGTTTACAAGATCCTCGACTATAGCCAGGTACGTCTACATTCCTGTCAAATGGCCTACTGTTATACTACACTGCTCAAAAAAATAAAGGGAACACGTAAACAACACAATGTAACTCCAAGTCAATCACACTTCTGTGAAATCAAACTGTCCACTTAGGAAGCAACACTGATTGACAATAAATTTCACATGCTGTTGTGCAAATGGAATAGACAACAGGTGGAAATTATAGGCAATTAGCAAGACACCCCCCAATAAAGGACTGGTTTTGCAGGTGGTGACCACAGACCACTTCTCAGTTCCTATGCTTCCTGGCTGATGTTTTGGTCACTTTTGAATGCTGGCGGTGCTTTCACTCTAGTGGTAGCATGAGACAGAGTCTACAACCCACACAAGTGGCTCAGGTAGTGCAGCTCGTCCAGGATGGCACATCAATGCGAGCTGTGGCAAGAAGGTTTGCTGTGTCTGTCAGCGTAGTGTCCAGAGCATGGAGGCGCTACCAGGAGACAGGCCAGTACATCAGGAGATGTGGAGGAGGCCGTAGGAGGGCAACAACCCAGCAGCAGGACTGCTACCTCCACCTTTGTGCAAGGAGGAGCAGGGGGAGCACTGCCAGAGCCCTGCAAAATGACCTCCAGCAGGCCACAAATGTGCATGTGTCTGCTCAAACAGTCAGAAACAGACTCCATGAGGGTGGTATGAGGGCCCGACGTCCACAGGTGGGGGTTGTGCTTACAGCCCAACACCGTGCAGGACGTTTGGCATTTGCCAGAGAACACCAAGATTGGCAAATTCGCCACTGGCGCCCTGTGCTCTTCACAGATGAAAGCAGGTTCACACTGAGCACGTGACAGACGTTCTGCTGCCTGCAACATCCTCCAGCATGACCGGTTTGGCGGTGGGTCAGTCATGGTGTGGGGTGGCATTTCTTTGGGGGGCCGCACAGCCCTCCATGTGCTCGCCAGAGGTAGCCTGACTGCCATTAGGTACCGAGATGAGATCCTCAGACCCCTTGTGAGACCATATGCTGGTGCGGTTGGCCCTGGGTTCCTCCTAATGCAAGACAATGCTAGACCTCATGTGGCTGGAGTGTGTCAGCAGTTCCTGCAAGAGGAAGGCATTGATGCTATGGACTGGCCCGCCCGTTCCCCAGACCTGAATCCAATTGAGCACATCTGGGACATCATGTCTCGCTCCATCCACCAACGCCACGTTGCACCACAGACTGTCTAGGAGTTGGCAGATGCTTTAGTCCAGGTCTGGGAGGAGATCCCTCAGGAGACCATCCGCCACCTCATCAGGAGCATGCCCAGGCGTTGTAGGGAGGTCATACAGGCACGTGGAGGCCACACACACTACTGAGCCTCATTTTGACTTGTTTTAAGGACATTACATCAAAGTTGGATCAGCCTGTAGTGTGGTTTTCCACTTTAATTTTGAGGGTGACTCCAAATCCAGACCTCCATGGGTTGATACATTTGATTTCCATTCATTAATTTTTGTGTGATTTTGTTGTCAGCACATTCAACTATGTAAAGAAAAAAGTATTTAATAAGATTATTTCATTCATTCAGATCTAGGATGTGTTATTTTAGTGTTCCCTTTATTTTTTTGAGCAGTGTATATTTGCTGTTGTACATGTCAGACCATATCTGAGCTCACAAATGTTCATTTCCAAAGTCAATCTCCCCTCCCCGCTCTCTCACCCCAGAACGACCTGATTGGCCAGAGTCTGTTTGATTACCTGCATCCTAAAGACATCGCCAAAGTCAAGGAGCAACTGTCATCATCGGATACAGCACCCCGGGAGCGACTCATCGATGCCAAAAGTAAACTCTCCCTCCTGTCTCGCCAGACCCTGGGGGGGGGAGTCGTCAATAATACATTATTACAGCATAATGCCTTAGTAAATACTTTTCCAAAATACTGGCAGTTTACCTGCTATATTATGTGTGTAAACAACATGATTTATGGTGCACCGTAAATGTATAGACTATGTACAAGTATCTTATGTACATTATAAGAGTAGAATGCTTTTAACATTGTATGTAAGTTATTTCTAAAGCTATTGGGAATGATTAGCATGTTCAGCAGTGGTCTTATATGATTTGCTTGTTCTTCCTCAGCTGGCCTGCCAGTGAAGACTGACATCACCCCTGGGCCGTCTAGACTGTGCTCCGGAGCCAGACGTTCTTTCTTCTGCCGGATGAAATGTAACCGGCCCTACGTCAAAACGGAGGACAAGGACTTCCCCTCGACCTGTTCCAAAAAGAAAGGTTCCTATCTCAAGATCTAGGCCTCCTTCCCTGCTGTCTTAACTTTGGTTACTCAGAAACCTGGCATCACAGATTATTAGCATCATGTTAGCATTACAATGAGAGCACAGGATGCATGCTACTCTGTGTACCAAATGGCTAATAAACAATATGCTTATTGTTGAACTTAATATGGGAAGGCAGTAGCAAGAAATATTGATGTGCTGCGATTTAAAGCCGTTTAGTAAGAAAAGCTGCGTAGGTCATGCAAAAAAGAATGCAAATCTCCAGTTGAGCGCTCGCTGAATATTTTAGTGCTAATTAATATTTGATCTAGGAAAACATTCTCCCCTTGATTGACCATTGATTCAAATACAGGCTAGTATTACTTGTTTGCTTAACTTGTGGTTTTCTCATTAAATCAGTAATTTACACTTGACCTTAAGTCATGGACCACTGATGTAAACCGATGGATAACTTACCATTGTATGGGAGGAAATCTATTTACAATGTTTATTTTTTACCTTCAGCCGATCGCAAGAGCTTCTGCACGATCCACAGTACTGGCTACCTGAAAAGCTGGCCGCCCACCAAGATGGGTCTGGACGATGACAACGAGCCCGACAACGAGGGCTGTAACCTCAGCTGCCTGGTGGCCATCGGCCGGCTGCACCCCCACATCATCCACCAGCCCTCCCATGAAGACATCCGCGTCAAACCCACCGAATACGTCTCCCGCCACGCTATCGACGGGAAGTTTGTCTTTGTCGACCAGAGGTACGACGATGGAGCTTATGCCTTAATTTTACTATGACATTTTTGGTTTATGATTACATGTGTGCTAGTCGTTCAGCCTCACTATATTTGATGAATTAATCTCCTGCTAACAGCTTGACACCTCACAAGCCATTATTACTCATGATGAAGGGTAATCAAACTTTCATAAAAATGTCAGTGAACTGATTCATCTTCATAGGAAACGCTCCGGTACCATTTTAAAGACTCTTGTCAAAAACTATTCGTTTCTTTTCTGTGCTGTTCTTAAGGGCCACAGCCATTATTGCATACTTACCCCAGGAGCTTCTAGGCACCTCCTTCTACGAGTATTTTCATCAGGAAGATATTGGCCACCTGGCAGAATGTCACAGACAAGGTATTGGATCAACTGTCCGGCATGACACAACATTTCTTTGTGATTTACATCTTACTATATTTAGTCACAACGTTTTGTTTTCTGACCTTACATCCTGGGTATCTTGTTTCACAGTGCTGCAGATGAGAGAAAAGATCAACACAAACTGTTACAAGTTCAAGATTAAGGATGGCTCCTTCATCACGCTGAGAAGCTGCTGGTTTAGTTTCATGAATCCCTGGACCAAAGAAGTGGAGTACATCGTCTCCACAAACACAGTGGTCTCGTAAGTCGCCCTTCTCTCTGTCCTCGCTATGAAGGTTACATGGGAACGCATACTGTACATATTAGAAGTGGTGCGTCACTGATTGTTGTAGAGCTAACTGGTAGTGTTTATTCAGTGGATGTTTTGTTTTAGCACTTGAAACACTGGTGCTGATGTTGCTGTCTTAATGCTTCTCTAGATGCAGTATGTTAGACGGTGCAGACCCCTATCCTCAGTCTGCTGCCTCCCCCACAGCCTCTGTGGACAGTGTGCTGACGTCAGAAGGTGACATTATTGAAAATTGTGAAAGAAGGCATGCTTTTCTACATATTAAGCGGGGCTTTCTTTACGTCCTTGGAACAAGATCTGAGATGTCAGCTGATTCTCTCTGTACACCAAGATGCAAGCTATATTGAATAGCTTTCTTTTTGATAAATGTTGTGTATCTATGTGTTAAAACATTCTAAAGCATCTGTTGAGATCTCACAAGACTTGGTATTGGAGCGTTGGACCAAATGTGAAAATACAATGTTCAGTCAGTCCAGGAGCAGGCAATGTGTTTGATTGCAGGTGGAGGGAGACGGGCCGTTCAGACGGTGCCAGGCATCCCTGGTGGAACACGGGCAGGCGCCGGTAAGATCGGCCGCATGATCGCAGAGGAGGTGATGGAGATTCAGAGGTGAGAGAGTTTAGGCAGAAAATGGATGACGGCTTATTAATAGCTGCAGAATCATTAAAATAACACAGAGACCATAAACCAGGTCTCTTCGATTATAACTTTTCTCTTCTCGTCCCCCTGCTCTCAGATATTGATTCACCCTTTATCAAAAAGTGACAGGCTTGCAAATGAGTCTGTTCAGCTAGGCTACGTTGGCTGTGATGAATTACCTGGAGCTGAAGGTTTTTTTTTATTATTAGCTGACTACACTGTCACAGAACCCTGGTGTAACGGTATTGTCTGTTCTTCTCTCTGCCAGGACCAGAGGCTCCACACCCTCCAGCTGTGGCTCCAGCCCCCTGAACATCAGCACCCCCCCTCCAGACTGCTCTCCAGGGGGCAAGAGGGTGAGTCTTGCACAATAAATTGATACCTTGCTAGCATCACTGATTATTTGATTGGATGTTGTGCCTGATCCAGTATTGTCTGTTGGATACTTGAAGTCAGGCATCTATCCTGTGGCTGAAAGCTGGTCTTCTATCTAGACCACCACTGACCTCTTTGTTCTTGCAGATTCAAAATGGTGGAACGTCAGACCTTCCGTCTGCAGGAATGCTACCAGGAGGACCTGACTCCATTGGATACCCATACTCCAACCAGTCCATTATGAGTAAGTTACCATGCCCACCATTTTCAACAAATGTTCCAAAAACAGATGTTACAAACAATGAATCCTCCCCATTCAAGTAGACGTGTAGTATTTGTGCAGGGAAAAATCTAAACGGTACTGAATCAAAATCCAGTCGTGTGATTGACTACAGCGTTTACCCTTACCACCCATGTAGGTGAAAACTCTCATCTCAGCATCGACATCATGGACGAGCCAGGCTCCAGCAGCCCCAGTAACGATGAGGCAGCCATGGCTGTGATCATGAGTCTCCTGGAGGCTGACGCAGGCCTTGGGGGCCCCGTGGACTTTAGTGACTTACCCTGGCCCTTGTGATGACGGCCCTAGAGGAACAGCAGGGCAGTTGGAACTCTTGGGTTAAGGCCCACATAACTCATGTCAGAACCCTGAATTGACGATGCAGTGATATCATCAGGAACCATGGCACTGTGGGACTTATTGGAGCCAAGACCTCCATGGTATACCTGTCTGTGCCCTCCCTAGCCTGCTGCTGGACACTTACATTGACCTTCACCACAGGACAATTCAGTTAGCAATGTCTATGTTCCTGCGTTATCCTACCAGGGATTTCTATTGAAAACCTGTTTCTGTTTTAGTGTTTTGATGTTTTTACACTACAAAATGGTTTTCCTTGTTGGATAACCCCATTGGAAATTGTATCAAATCTTTAAATAGTATCATGTAAGAAATACTTAATGCAAAATATATGGTATGTGTATTGTATTAGCAGTGAAAAAATGTTTAAATTAAGTGTTTTTTTGGATTGTATCTCCTTCCAGAAGACTTCGAGCTATAAATATAATCTTGAAAACAGAATTTGATGCAGTGTTATTGACGCTAATGAAGAAGTAGTATCCCTATTTACAATGTTCAAATGTCACATACTATCAGAAGCATTCTGAACAATTACATTCGAATCAGAGGGTGGGTGAGTGAATCGTTCAGGGAATTGCATGTAACGGAAGCAATTCAATGAATCTAATTCACAGATTTCCTCCATTGAGCCTATTGGTGCAACGCTGGGATATTTCTATCATGTTGCCATCCAGTGGCAGAAATTCAGTCAGCCAAAGATAACAGGACTGCATTGCTAATGTGGTGGTGAGGAGAAACGCCTGGGAACACAAACTGAGCTGATGGAAGCCAGTTAATAACATCCGCACACAAGGATTTTAGGTAATATTTGCAAGTGTGAATATTAAAGGAGCAATATGCCATAGTTACTGGTTTTTAATCATTTTAATTAAATGAGGAATATGTTAAAGCCGTAATAAGATTAAGGAATCTGGCTTTGGAGGACAGAACACATTTTCCTACATTTATCATTTTGAGAACCTTGCCTTCAATAATATCACCAGGTGGCAAATGAGTTAATAGACCAATAAGAAAGACTTCTAAACCTCTAGTTTTCAGTTTTCCCCTCCCCACTCAGACCACTCTGACAGTCCTAGCAAAAAATGTTGCTTGAGAAATAGCTCTTTGCTAAGAAGCTGTGTTTCTTTACCAACTTTAATTGAAAAAAATCACAATAAGGTACTTGTTATCCAGAAATAATTTGATATTGAGATAAAAACAGCTGCATTGGACCTTTTAAGTTCAGTATACAAGCTATTGATGACTAAGGCGGCTGATAAGGTGCAACTATGTTAGGTTTGCTCTCTCCAGTTGGAACAGATTCAAATGTTGGACCATATTGGATCTTTTACGCTCCATTGACTAAGTAGGAGTGGCTAATGAACATGTCAGCTTGGGTCCTCTACAGCACAAGCAGACATTACGAATGTATAGCAATGTGATAAGAAAAACGAATTGACAATTAAATGCACTGCCAAATTGGGATACTCTTCTCAAACAGATGGAGTCATGAATGATGAAAGTGAGATGAATATGAAATAAAAACGTATTTATTCTGAGACCAAAGCATCACAGCGAGGCTGCTCTGGTGGTGGACTACTGTAGTACGATTCTAAATCCGCACTGCCATACCACCACCAGGGGCAGCGAGCAGAACACCAAACTCTTTAGGAACTACAGTACTGTACACAGCAGCACCACACACACAACTCATCACATGAGGACCCACAGACAAGTTCGTGATACAATCTGCTTTTTTTTTTTTAATTTAAAGAATAGTTCAAATATTCTTGATAAAAATAAATCTCCTTTGGTCAGTTAAAAAAAAGAAACAGTGCAGACTAAGTGCAATGAAGCAATCGTTTACTGTGTGCTTTGCTTCTCCTTCCTTGGCTGTTGACAATATATACCAGTTATCTTTTGAGGCTTGTAAAGGCAATGTGGTTTCTGCTGCCCAACTTGCTCATCAATACAGTGCTCTGTGGAGGGGGACGGGGGGCCCAGTCTCAGACAGCCGGTGAGGGGGCGTCTGGGTCTGGCTCATAGTGATAGCTTGGCTGAGGCTGGATGTCCAGTTCGTCCACCTGAGGACCAGGGTGCATGTTGACCAGCTGGTCCTGGGGAATGTCTGCAGCAGCGGCTGCCAGGTTGGTGATGGACTTGCTCTTCACACACTGGAAGTCAACATGGCGGCTCTTGCCCTCCTCCTTCTCCCAGGACATGCGGATGAAGGGCCTCTGGACGTAGTTGTAGATGACCTCTGGCCGGCTGCCAGGACGCTTCTTCACCTTCTCCTTGTAGGTGGGGTAACCTGGGAGGATAAAAACAGACATTTTGGTTTTATTAAAATTAATAAAAAACAATTGAAATACCTTGTATTAAATGCATGATGTTGTATTAGAAGTATATTTATACAAAAAGTGTAGTCTTCAATATTTTTTACCCAATTGGGGTAACCCTTTAGGCTTCTTGATAGACATTATGTGCAACAAGGAACAAGGCAGTTCAGTGATGATCCACCATACCTTCAATTCCTAGTCTGATTTTCTTAAGTCCTCTGTCTTTTAATACTGATTTGGCAACGTCGCGATTCTCTATATACTTGAAGAATCTGTACAGTTTTGTGCTGTATATAACTGTAAAGAAAAATGAAAAAGTATTATTGTTTATATAATTAAATGTCATACATATTCTAAGTAAAATAACATAGGCATTCAGCAATTCAGATCAGGCAGGTGAACCAGTGCACTCAGTCTATTTCCTGTGTTATGTATCATATTTGTCCAACAGCTGATGAAACACTTGTTTATTTTTGACCATTTTAATGAAAAACTATTACAGTAAGTAACTTGTTACCCAGAACTGATGCACTGGACCTTTAACAGTCAATTATAATCTAGGGCAATTATTTTCACAGCGATATAAACCACTCATGGGTGACTTGTTGAAATGGCTTGCTTGTAAACTACTATATCAACAGAGCCAGTGAGGTGAATGACCTGACTCACTCTGTGAATACTCCTCTCCCATCTGCGGAGGGTACTCCTCGTCCCAGTCCACCACGTCGTCGTCTGTCAGGACCACTATGTGACACTCCCTCTCTCCGTTCTGGGCGCTGGCCACCATCAGAGGCAGCACCATCTCCTCCAAGTAGAACTCAAACTGACGCCTCGCCCCATCATTGGACAGCTCGTGCATGAGTGCACCTGGAAAATAGGAGTGGGTGGAGTGAGACGACCACACTCCAGTTCTCACGCTGAAATATAATAATAATAAGCCATTTAGCAGACGCTTTTATCCAAAGCAACACACTCAAGCATGTGCGCACACACATGCACACTCACAGCAAGTGAACAAAACTAGACACACATCCACATTTAAAATAACGTCAATCAATGGCTATAGCAGTCAGTGACACAGATTGTGGAAACTCTGCGATCATCTGACATGGATCAAACCTGTAGGCTAATACTGACCTAGTTTCAGAGCTGTGCCTCCTACTCAACCACAACATGTCAACACCTCCACAACACCAAACACACAGCAGGCTAAATAAACCTAGCATTTAATACAGAACAATGTCATGGAATGAAATATTACATAGGAATATTCTGCATAAAATGCAATGTGTATTATCATGTCATTAAAATGAGAAAAAGAGGGCCTGATGGCATATAGCTATATACACTCACTGAGGTCTCTACACTTGATGGTGCTGTAGTCGAAGGAGATGCAGAGGTAGTCACATGCTTCTCTCAGCTCGGGAATGGAGATCCCATCAGGACAGCGGATTATCCCAGATTTGTAGTAATCCTGCCATTTAAAAGTCACAGGAAAAACAAACAGGCAGCCATCACGGAGGCTGCTCTGCGCAAACACAGAACAGCCTTCCGACAACAGCAAATGGCAGTGACGTCACTCCCTCCCTCCCACCCCCACAGACCCATTTACAGCCAGAGAAACATGGAGATCATTAAAGTATAACGCTGAAAAGAAAAGGGATGGAGGCAGCAGCAACGCTCGGCTCTTCACAAGACAGTGCCTGAAACGGCTGTTAGCTTGCTCTGTGCCCTGAATGCTAATGCTGCCAGCCATGTTTTTCCTCTCTTCCTGTTGTTTTAGTCGGGTCGCCTTTGACTGTAGAGCTCTTCACACTCCGAGCACAGATCTGTACAACGAGACGGTTCAATACTGACAATGCAAGATAAGCCTTGAAATCAAACAAAGAAGTGCCTTCAGCATGTTATTGAGTCCCGACTATCCACATTAGCCTCTCTCCCCCATACAAATAGGCATACAGATGTGAAATTGCTACACTGACATGCTAGAACACCGTAAAGCCTGAGTCACACAGAAAGCTGCTCTTGAGCCTGAAATAACATCCAGAAACCCTATGATACACACACAAACAGATGGCATTACCTGGTTGTTCTCCTCCCCTGTGTCTCTGGAGAGTTAAGTGGAACAGCGGGGCGAACAAACACAAAAATGAAAGCACTAGCATGTTGTACAGCATTAGTATCTCTGATCCCGGAAAATGTGCCTTATGTAACACTGATTATCTGCCCTGCATTTCCACACTTCCACAAAAATACACAATATATCAGATGGACAATCTCAGAGATTGTTTGTAAACAAACGTATTTGTCAAGGTATTACTAGAAAGTAATTGCATACAAATGCACTATAATCCTTGAATAATATGGAAATTATGCTGCAATCATATACGAAACAATATGTATTGACCCCTATACATTTGGCCACTCTCCACAATCTCTGGTCATGGAACAATAAAGGTGCTTGTTTTAGATAGGTCAGAACACTGAAGGCCTATTCTTCTTCTTAATAAAATATATAGGGGATGGATAGAATCTGTGAGAAAACGTATTTTCCTTTCCAGTCATGACTGACGCAGCAGCGTAATCCTTCACTTTGTCAATATCAACCCATCTCTGGAGACATTAGGTGAAACTCTATGACATTATCAAACCAGAATGAGTGTCTTACCAGGATGGCTCTGAAAACAGTTGAGCTGATTCCATCTGCCACCTCAAATTCCCCTTTGTCATTGGGCCTGGTGAAATTGTATTCCCTCCCAGATCCAAACATTCTACGAGAGAGGAAAACATTTGGTTTGAAATTAATTATCCCTTTAATTTGCTGTAATATCCCTTTCATTTCCCTTTAATTTGCTGTAATATCCCTTCGATATCTCTTTAATTTATGGTGATAAAATATTTTACTGTACCTTCCCAGCATGGTGTTGGGCTGGGCGGTGAAGATGGCCGGGTCCACCACGAAGCGGGTGTTGTCCACAATCAGTGTGACCCTCTCCGCCGTCCGTAACGTGCGCGCCCCCTCTTTGGCATTTTCATAGACGTAGATGAGGTCACAGGGGCCGTGCACGTGTCCATGACCCAGGCCCTTACAGTGGGCCTCGTTGCTGAACAGGCTGCTCCTGCTGCTGCTCACTGCGATGCAGCTGGGCCCCACCGACATCATGGCTCTGGGGGGCCGAGGGCTTGATGACCTGGAGGAAGAACTACCCTCGCCCCGCTCACGATCTGGAAGAGACAAACAGACAGAGTACCGTAGGTAAGGTGCCAACACTGCTGTCTCATCACACTGTAGCTGGCTGCCAGAAGGATGAAAAAGGGCATTGAAAGCTTTCGCAAGCGCCAAAATGCTTTCCTTTCAAGACTTGATTATTCAACTGTTACTGTAGCAATTTAAACATCATTCAGTTCGGCCATTGGCTTAATTCCCTGAGTGGGTCCAGACTGAGTAGCAGTCGTATGACTACTGTGGCTCCACCTCTGGGTTAGGCTTTAAGGAGATTTCTACGTGATGAAACCACTTCAGTCACTGCTTTTGTGTCGTTAGAAAGGGCCTCAATCTAACAGCTGTACCTGAGGCATCTGAGACAGCCTTGTTATGTCAGTGTCACGTCATTACACTGTGTGGTTCTGTCGCATAGCAGTAATGGATTAGAGAATAACCAAACGGGTACAGCCGTGGTGTTGTTCCAGTAATGGAGGTGAAACACTGGGAAGCTACTCACCACTGTTGTGCTGTCGGGTGGGCGAGGTGATGTTCCTGATGCAAGGGGTCAGCTGACCCTCGCCCCTCTCGTGGGAGGAGTCTCGGGAGCGGTCGCTGGAGCGCCGGCGGTCGCTGTCCCTGCAGCGTTCGAGGCCTCCGCTGGCGCCATGCAGATTCATGTTGACTAGTTCGGCCTCCAGTTGGGGGACTGCTGGGAGGCGGGGCTGGGCACTAAGAGAGGAGAAAATCACACAGTCAGAGATACACACATGATCACTGAGAGGGAAAAGTGAGCATTTTGCATGCTTCTCTGCAGAGAAAAAGTGGGTAAAAGCCTGCAGTAAACTCATATGTATCCTCTGTGCGAGAGAGGTAGAATTTATTTTTTGTGCTGACCGCTGCAGAAAGATTGCCAATACAACACTACTGCTTGCTGCCTGCAGCTGGAGCCCTATACTCTGAGAAACCCATTAGGGAGTGAATCCATGTGAAACAATCCGAATGAACTCACTTAACTGTGGGGACAACACATAAATGGGACTATTACTCCTCTTGGAGTGGCCTTTGTAAAATCTGAAATATTACACTGATGGAGCAGACTATCCACAATGCCTGAAGTACCAAACACCTTCTTGAAATCATTTGCACAAAAAAAAAATCGTACTTCCCATTGAAGATGCATTTAAAACTCTACTGTCCGTTGCAGAAGAGCCTTTCTATGGGGAAATTGAGAAACTGGTTATCCCATTGAGACAAGCAGAGACAGAAGCAGGAAGCATTGTTCTGTTATCTGCAGCAGCCTCTTTACCTCTGAAAGCGCTCTCACACCGTCTGGTTTGTCTAGTCTGGCCAGCGTGCCATACTGCAGGTCTCCCTAATAAAGAGCGGCTCCCGCCCCAGGGTCGTGATTATGAAATATGAGGAGGCTGAAGTGAATGCCCTTGGAGAGAATGGACTAGAGAGAGCAGCACACTGAGGAACTCTCAAAGACGGGAGAGCTATAAAGAAACTGCCTTTATAGTCCCTCCAATGAATGACGTCCGTACACCTTCTAGTTCCCCATAGAAAACTGGGTCCAGTCAACCGTTAACAGGGTCTGACGTCTGAGTCCACTGCCTCCTCCACTGCCACCCTCACTGATGGAGTCCCTGAGAGTGAGAGAAATCATAGACCTGGAGGACTGACTGACTGACTCAGAGCAGGATAAATTAGTCATTTCACTACACGTGGAGAACAACCAACTTACTTCATGCGGCAAAATAAGGCAGAATGTCATGTTATGAAATTTCCTGTCCAAATAATTGCCATCTATATTTTGGCAGCAGCTGAATGGATGCCAATGAGTGGTCCAGGATGCTAGCTCTCATCATGCTGTATACAGTTCAGAGCCAGGCAGGCCTGCCCTACAGTATGTGAGTCCCCTTCTCTTTGTGCAGGTTGTCCTCATTACTGCACCAGTATAGAATACTGCCATCTATGAGACCTTCAGCAATGTAAACAAAAACTGAACTGAAACAATGAGTAGACTATCCCCAGATGGTGTGTGAACTTTGTCCTTTTGAGAAATCTGAATTAAAAAAAACTCATTAGGTTGTGGAATGTGATTAAAAGCATTGGACAGCATGGGAGATGTCCTTGAATGTAGGAACAGCACAGGCTGGTTATGGAATGGTGCCCCTATTGCACTCAGCAGCAGTTCAGGTCAGCAAACACAGCAGCATCAATCCCTTTAGGCTATCTACTCTACCTATTAACGTTATCTACCATATTTTGCCATAATTTGAATTCTGAATATAGGGTAGAATGTCCAGCAACAGGAAGAATTTTTGACCAGATTGTTTAATGTATAAAACAAATATTCTTCCAGTGCAATAAGCAGGCAAGTCTAGCACCATCAGCAAACAATGGATCAGTGAGAGCAATAGCGGTCATCTCATCTTTCATGCAGCAATGCAAAGCTATATCCATCCACATATCAATGGCTCCCGCGATTATCTCACATAGAATCTTGGAAATAGCATTTTTCCCCCCCACGAAATGATAATTTGGGATGCAAATTGCATGGTTGAATATTTTATGACTGTGATAATGGAGAGAGAAAAATCCACAGATGCACTTGTGTTATAGGCGTCTGCAGCATTGAGTCCCGTTACTTAAAGAAAAAGGTCCCATCAATAATTTAGAGCACTGAGTGCTGACACTGCTCCTCTGATGTTAAACAGAGAGAATGCGCGCTAGTTTCGGGGGTTTAACCCTTTCCAACAGGTATATAAATAAACCCTATGCGTTCTGATCGGCAAACCCCATGAAATGAGACACTTCCCTTTTAAACAGACACACGCAGTCTTGCTTTTATTTTCCCTTTTCCACATTGCCATTCATTAGAATGCGTGGAAAAGCCGAAAAAAAATATATAGATTAAATATTTACAAAAACATAGGAAATCAACATATGCCATAAGAAACGCAATGAATAGGATGAGGAGCACACCTACCCGTCTGTATCGCACGGCAAATTAAAGACAAAGCAGCACGGGATGAGTTGAGGGATGAAAGCACAAAGGACTTGGGCTCCTCCGAACAATGCAGGCTTGCCAGCCGGTTTAGCATAGTTGGGCATTACTTTCGAACTTCAGCATTATTTCGTAGACTCCGATTCAACTTTCTAGCTGTGAAGCACAGCCTGAAAATTCTCTTTCAAAAGACTCGATCGCACCGATTTCAAAAAATGGAGACAGGAGGACCAGTCATTCAGTTCAGACAGGGAGACCCGTAGATATGAATGGCTGTGCGCTTTTTTTCCCACGACATCGAGTCAGACACGCACAGAGCAACGCTTCTGACGTAGGCGTAGCCCGACCTCCCTGTCTACTGTCCTGATCATACCTCAGTGGTCCTGATACTGCCCGAGTTGACACGATTCTCCTCAGCAGCATCAAGCAGCATGGCTTGGCTGATGAAATAAAATAGCTGGCTTGCGGATGAAGGACATGACAGAGCACAATTTCACCTCTGGACGTGACTGTCAATGAGAATGCCAATATGTGCTTAAAATGTGTTCTGTTAGTTGATATTAAAATATGAATTTGAGCAAGAGATTTTCTTATAATGATTGATTTCCCAGATAAAGGCTTTGATTGACAATCACAGGTGTGTGGGGATTTTTGTAGTAGTCCATCCAGAGAGGTAGGACTACAACCATAGATGTATCAAATAATAGCCAACACTTTTTTGACACATGGTGCATATTGTGGACTGTTAATCATGTCATTCACTTGCTTAATAAACACTTCATAACACTACTTTGATATTTGTACTTAACCTATAGGCTACTTTTCATTGTCTGAATTAAAATAATCTATTGAAATATACTTAGCAGCTTCTGATTTCATTATCAAAAAGCCTGTTGATGCATGCAGATGCCATGTCATTGATTTAATCTGTACATTTGTATAATTATTGCAATGCAAGTGTAAGCTAGGTTTTCGGTGAGGGTTTAGGTGGAAGAAGAAACGTATCAATACAGTGCGGGAAAAAGGTATTTGATCCCCTGCTGATTTTGTATGTTTGCCCACTGATAAAGAAATGATCAGTCTATAATTTTAAATGGTAGGTTTATTTGAACAGTGAGAGACAGAATAACAACAAAAAAATCCAGAAAAACGCATGTTTAAAAAAAATGTTATTAAAAAAATGTTATAAATTGATTTGCATTTTAAATGAGGGAAATAAATATTTGACCCCTCTGCAAAACATGACTTAGTACTTGGTGGCAAAACCCTTGTTGGCAATCACAGAGGTCAGACGTTTCTTGTAGTTGGCCACCAGGTTTGCACACATCTCAGGAGGGATTTTGTCCCACTCCTCTTTGCAGATCTTCTCCAAGTCATTAAGGTTTCGAGGCTGACGTTTGGCAACTCGAACCTTCAGCTCCCTCCACAGATTTTCTATGGGATTAAGGTCTGGAGACTGGCTAGGCCACTCCAGGACCTTAATGTGCTTCTTCTTGAGCCACTCCTTTGTTGCCTTGGCCGTGTGTTTTGGGTCATTGTCATGCTGGAATATCCATCCACGACCCATTTTCAATGCCCTGGCTGAGGGAAAGAGGTTCTCACCCAAATATTTGACGGTACATGGCCCCGTCCATCGTCCCTTTGATGCAGTGAAGTTGTCCTGTTTCCTTAGCATAAAAACACCCCCAAAGCATAATGTTTCCACCTCCATGTTTGACAGTGGGGATGGTGTTCTTGGGGTCATAGGCAGCATTCCTCCTCCTCCAAACATGGCGAGTTGAGTTGATGCCAAAGAGCTCCATTTTGGTCTCATCTGACCACAACACTTTCACCCAGTTCTCCTCTGAATCATTCAGATGTTCATTGGCAAACTTCAGACGGGCATGTATAGGTGCTTTCTTGAGCAGGGGGACCTTGCGGGCGCTGCAGGATTTCAGTCCTTCACGGCGTAGTGTGTTACCAATTGTTTTCTTGGTGACTATGGTCCCAGCTGCCTTGAGATCATTGACAAGATCCTCCCGTGTAGTTCTGGGCTGATTCCTCACCGTTCTCATGATCATTGCAACTCCACGAGGTGAGATCTTGCATGGAGCCCCAGGCCGAGGGAGATTGACAGTTATTTGTGATTCTTCCATTTGCGAATAATCACACCAACTGTTGTCACCTTCTCACCAAGCTGCTTGGCGATGGTCTTGTAGCCCATTCCAGCCTTGTGTAGGTCTACAATCTTGTCCCTGACATCCTTGGAGAGCTCTTTGGTCTTGGCCATGGTGGAGAGTTTGGAATCTGATTGATTGATTGCTTCTGTGGACAGGTGTCTTTTATACAGGTAACAAGCTGAGATTAGGAGCACTCCCTTTAAGAGTGTGCTCCTAATCTCAGCTCGTTACCTGTATAAAAGACACCTGGGAGCCAGAATTATTTCTGATTGAGAGTGGGTCAAATACTTATTTCCCTCATTAAAATGCAAATCAATTTATAACATTTTTGACATGCGTTTTTCTGGATTTTGTTGTTGTTATTCTGTCTCTCACTGTTCAAATAAACCTACCATTAAAATTATAGACTGATCATTTCTTTGTCAGTGGGCAAACGTACAAAATCAGCAAGGGATTAAATACTTTTTTCCCTCACTGTATGGTTGTCATCATTGGGCTTCGGTGGTGGACCTTTGTGCAGCTTTTCCACGAGGGAATAGCCATAGCCGTAGACCAGGGGTAGACAACTAGATTCAGCAGCAGGCCGATTTTTGTCAGAGCGGATGGTCGGGGGGCTGGAAAATAATTATACTAATTTGGACACTGCAAATTGACCACAACTAAGCCCAAAGAGATTGTATAAAAAAAAATATATTCATACCTTGATTACCCATTGAGACAATCACACAGTGCCTATAGAAGGTTTACACCGTCCTTAGATTTCTTCACATTTTATTATTACAAAGTGGGATTAAAATAGATTGAATTGCCATTTTTTGTAAACGATCTATACAAAAAAAATTCAATTTAAAAGTGGAAGAAAAATTCTAACTTTTTTTTTACATTTATAAAATATAAAACATGAATATACCTTGATTAAACAAGTATTCACCACTGAGTCAATACATGTTAGAATCATCTTTGGCAGCGATTACAGCTATGAGTCTTGGGTAAGTCTCATAAGAGCTTTGCACACCTGTATTGTACAATATTTGCACATTATTCTTTTCAAAATTCTTCAAGCTCGGTCAAGGTGTTGGGGATCATGGCTAGACAGCAATTTTCAAGTCTTGCTATAGATGTTCAAGATTTAAGTTAAAAATGTAACTTGGCCACTCAGGAACATTCACCATCTTCTTGGTAAGCAACTCCAGTTTAGATTTGGCTTTGTGTTGTAGGTTATTGTCCTGCTGAAAGGTGAATTCTTCTCCCAGTTTCTTGGTGTAAAGCAGACTGAAGCAGGTTACCCATACCATGATGCAGCCACCACCATGCTTGAAAATAAGGAGGCCGTTACTCAATGATAAGGCTTTGCATTTAGGCAAGTAAGTGTATCCCTTTGCCGTTTTTTTGTTGTTGCAATATTACTTTAGTGCTTTGTTACTAACGTATTCATGTTTATTCTGTATATTTGTATTCTTCTTTTCACTGTCATTTAGATCATTCTTTTGGAGTCACTACAATGTTGAGCCAGACTCAGTTTTCACCCATCACAGCCACTGAACTCTGAAGCTGTTAATTCACCAATGGCCTCATGGTGACATCCCTAAGCAGTTTCCTTCCACTCCTACAGCTCAGTTCAGAAGGACGACTGCATCTTTGATATGCCTGGGTGGTTTAATACATCATCCACAGAATAATTATTAAATTGACCATGCTTAAAGATATATTCTATGTCTGATTGTTATTGTTACCCATCTACCAATCACTGCCCTTCTTTATGGAGGCTTTAAAAAAAGTTCCCTGGTCTTTGTAGTTGAATCTGTGCTTGAAATTCAATACTTGAATGAGAGACCTTACATATTTATGTATGGGGGACAGAGGAAGGGGTAGTCATTTAAAAAATAATGTCAACCCCTAATATGTCCACATACAGTGCATTCGGAAAGTATTCAGACCCCTTGACTTCTTCCACATTTTGTTCTGTTACAGCCTTATTCCCCCCCCACACACACAATACCCCATAATGACAAAGCAAAAACAGGTTTAGACATTTTTGCAAATGTATTACAAATACAAAAAACAGAAATAACACATTTACATAAGTACTCAGACCCTTTACTTTGTTGAAGCACCTTTGGCAGTGATTACAGCCTAGAGTCTTCTTGGGTATGATGCTACAAGCTTGGCACACCTGTATCTGGGGAGTTTCTCCCATTCTTCTCTGCAGATACTCTCAAGCTCTGTCAGGTTGGATGGGGAGCGTCGCTGCACAGCTATTTTTCAGGTCTCTCCAGAGTTGTTAGATCGGGTTCAAGTCCGGGCTCTGGCTGGGCCACTCAAGGACATTCAGAGACTTGCCTCGAAGCCACTCCTGAGTTGTCTTGGCTGTGTGCTTAGGGTCGTTGTCCTGTTGGAAGGTGAACCTTCGCCCCAGTCTGAGGTCCTGAGCACTCGGAGCAGGTTTTCATCAAGGATCTCTCTGTACTTTTCACTGTTCATCTTTCCCTTGATCCTGACTAGTCTCCCAGTCCCTGCCGCTGAAAAACATCCCCACAGCATGATGCTGCCACCACCTGGTGCCAGGTTTCCTCCAGATGTGACGCTTGGCATTCAGGCCAGCAAACATTTCTAAAAACCTGTTTTCGTTTGTCATTATGGGCTATTGTGTGTAGATTGATGAGGAAAACATTTATTTAATCCATTTTAGAATAAGGCTGTAACGTAACAAAATGTGGAAAAGGTCAAGGGGTCTGAATACTTTCCGAATGCTCTGTAACTTATGTGCTTAGCTAAGCCAAATTTTACTTCTGATCTATACTGAACAAAAATATAAAACGCAATCTGTAAAGAGTTTAGATCAATTTTTCATGAGCTGAAATAAAAGATCCCAGAAATGTTCCATACACACAAAAAGCTAATTTCCCTCAAATTTTGTGCACAAATTTGCTTACATCCCTGTTAGTGAGCATTTCTCTTTTACCAAGATAATCCATCCACCTGACAGGTTTGGCATATCAAGAAGTTGATTAAATAGCATGATCATTACACAGGTGCACCTTGGGCTAGGGACAATAAAAGGCCACTAAAATATGTGATTTTGTCACACAACACAATACCACAGATGTCAC